TTAATAGTTTTGTTGGTTTTTTAAAGAATGAGATGTAATCACGATCTCAAACCTGTATTTCAGGGCCGGCCCGGTGGCGCACTGGATAGGTGCGCCGCTTGGGAGGCGCGGCGGCGCTCCCGCCCGAGGGCTCGGATCCCACATACAGACCGGTTCCCGCTCACTGGCTGAGCAAGGCGCGGGAGCAGCGCCGAGGGTTGCGATCCCGTTGCCGGTCCCCGGTCCGGTACGGGGGCAACACTGAGGGTTGCGATCCGTTGCCGGACATGGAAAAAGACAAAAGACAAAAAAAAAAAAAGAATAAATTGGAGATCAACTCCAGCATGACAGTGTGAGGAGCTCTTCTGACCCACTCCCCAGTGAAACTAGTGAAAATTATTTTTAAAAAAGCATTCAAAGCCTCTGGATATGGTCCTAAGGGAAAACAGCAAATGAGTAAAACATCTATTCAAGAAAATCTATGAAAACTCCGTAAGAAATGTAAGAGTCTGTGGTATTTGAACCAAGACCACTCCATCCCTTCACCTTTCCAGCTCAGTGAGGCATAAACTCCATTCCAGACTGCTTCAGCCAAAACCACAGGGATCCCTCTCTCCCCACCTCCAAGCCAGAGGGCTTTATTGCTGGAATAAGTATCCCTTCAGCATTCTTCAATCTGTGTCCAGCTACCTTTTGCTGAGGTTAAATCTCAGGTGAATACAGTTGAGAGGTTGGGACTCCCTTCTTCTGCCCAACTCCCACTTATGGAACAGAAGATCTACCTTAAGCATGGCATCCTGAGAATATCGAGGCCGTGATAGCCCTTTCTCTTGCTTGTGAGGCTGTGGTTCCATGCAAGGAGAGGCAAGCTAAGAGGACCTCAGGTGCTGCCTCACCTCCAGCAAATGCTCAGCACCTGAACTGAGAGTGTCAGTCAAAGAGAATCTTGTCATCGTCCCCACCCCCAGCTTCAGAGCCCTGGCTCAGAGATTTTGCCTGGTAGTAGAAGTTGGTCATAAGTGGACAGATCTTAATCTCTTACCATATAAACCAACTTAATTTACAAGAGAGCATGGAGAAGTAAATACCTAAGAGCACACTCAGGAACAGTGGAGATTGTATCGAAAAGACAACTAGGAGTAGATTTTTGGATCTAATGAAGACATAACCTAGACCATAGGCTGGCTAGTTTGCAGGAGAGAACTTGAGGATAAGACAGCTAGAAGAAGCCCTCCCCAGGGTCAGAACAAATACGAAACAATGACCCAGAAACTATTCCTTTCAAGGAGTCACAATTTGATTGGATTCTTTTGTAGAGGAATTTATGCTCTATTGAAACAGTAGAGCAATCAGATAGAAATTATTGGAGTTTAACAGCTAGTGTGGTCAGAGAAAGAGTGGAAGAGGGCCTTACTTATCTTCAATGAGTGTAGGCATCCCCAAGGTCGCACCTCCATGAAGAGAAACATCAGAGGCTTAACACTGTTGGAATGGGGGGCGGGGGAGGATACGGGCATGACTAAAATAACCCAGCCATCACTAAACAAGTAAACAACAAAATAACAAGAAAAAATCCCAGAGAGGGAGGAACCAGAACCCAGAGATGTTACAATACATTATGCAAAATGTCCAATTTCCAAGAAAAAATTAGAAGGCATGCAAAGAAGCAGGAAATTCTGACCCATTCACTAGAAGAAAAGTGGGCAATAGAAGCTGCCTGTGAGATTGACCAGATGTCAGATTTAACAAAAATACTTCAATGTAGCCATTATAAAAATGTTCACAGAATTAAAAGATAGCTTGATTAAATAAGTAAATGAAAGTATGATGACAATGCCACATCAAATAGAGAATAAGGACATAGAAAATATGAAAAAAGCCAAATGGAAATCCTGGAGTCAAAAAGTACAATAACTGAAATAAAAAATTCAATAGAAGGGCTCAACTGATTTGAACTGGTAGAAGAAAGAATTAGCAAGCCCTGAGAGTGTGGTGCTGGTAACACCAACGTCAAGGGTTTGGATCCCCTTACCAGCCAGCTGCAAACATACACACACCCACACCCACACACAAAATTAGCAAACCTGAAAGTGGATTGATAGAGATTACACAAGCTTAAGAACAGAGAAAAAAGAGTAAAGAAAAATAAACAGAGCCTCAAAAAATGTGGAAACCGTAAAGTGCACCAAACACACATAATGGAAGTACCAGAAGGATAGGAGAGAGAGAAAGGAGAAGAAAAAAATATTTGAAAAAATAATGGCTGAAAACTTCCCAAATTTATTAGAAAACAATAATTTATAAATACAGGAAGCTTAATGAACTTCAGGTAGGAAAAACACAAAGAGACCCACACACATCATAGCACAAATGCTGCAAGTCAAAGACAAGGATAAAATAACCAGGTTCATATATTTGTTGATTTTTTATTTTCTGCAATCATTTTCAAAATAAATTTCAAATTGTACTTTAAAATCATAAATTTCCTTTATGTTTTAATTCAGAAACAGGATTACTAGTAAGTACATTTTGCTGCAGCAACTTGATGGAAATGTAGAAAGGGAGTAAAATAAAATTGTGGAAGCTGTGTAGTAATTTGGAAAAGCTTTATCATAAAACGAAAGCTGGAAAACAGGATATAAGTTAGTATCTAAGTAAAAATATCTCAGTGGGTTGACGGATTGAACAGAGGGTTAAAAGACGCAGTTGATTGACATCGCCAGATGCTGGGATTGTAGAAAATACTTCTTGTTCAACTTATCCGTATTCCTGCTGTAATGTTGCGTGATACATAAAGTTCAGATAGGATAAAAATAATTAGCTCAAAGGAGTGGCAGAATTTGGGCTTCCTGGAGGTCTAAATAAACCTTCCCTTCTTGTCCCTGCAAGTCTGATCTTCTCGTGAAATGTGCTCATAGCCAGGTCTCTGCTGTGAGAAAAAGTAAGAACATCCCTGATATTCAGGAGCTTGCCTGGCACAAACAGCTGCGTTTTGGTGCTCTGCTGATGAACACAGAATTTCACAGAACATCAGTATAAGATAAGGCCACTCTGTGACTGGGATGGACCAAGACAAAACAAGACCATTGTGTAATCATGTCTAAACACAAAAACATGAATATTGTCATAGACACAAAAATGACCAAACATCCCCCATGCCAGCTGTCATGAGTGACTGCTGCTTCTTTGCCAGTTACAGCTTTGGCCTCAATCTAGTCTTCTTCCTTTTTAGATAAAATTTCTTAAGAAACCAATCAGAATTGTCACTGCTCTGGAGCAGTATCTAATCCAGAGCAAAGACCCAATTCCTAATTCCTAACCAGCATGATTTTACACAAGCCCAGGTCTTATACTAAGTCTTTGTTAGCACTCTTCTATTGAGATGCCTCACTATTCCCTGATGGTGTCTGCTCTCTCTTGTTATAATGAGTAATAAACCCAACATATTCGGCTACTGGTATGTTCCTGGTAGATTTTGGCTGGAGAGCATTGACAATTGCAATAGTCACATCATTTTTTTTTTTTTTTTGTCTTTTTTTGTGTCTGGCAACAGATCGCAACCCTCAGTGTCGCGCCCGAACCGGACCGGGACTGGCAACGGGATCGCAACCCTCGGTGTGAGAGCATTGACAATTGCAATAGTCACATCATTTTTTTTTTTTTTTGTCTTTTTTTGTGTCTGGCAACAGATCGCACCCCTCAGTGTCGCGCCCGAACCGGACCGGGACTGGCAACGGGATCGCAACCCTCGGTGTGAGAGCATTGACAATTGCAATAGTCACATCATTTTTTTTTTTTTTTGTCTTTTTTTGTGTCTGGCAACAGATCGCACCCCTCAGTGTCGCGCCCGAACCGGACCGGGACTGGCAACGGGATCGCAACCCTCGGTGTCACGCCCGCACCTCGCTCAGCCACTGAGCGGGAACCGGTCTGTATGTGGGATCCGAACCCTCGGCGGGAGCGCCCCCGCACTCCCAAGCGACGCACTGTAGCAGTGCGCCACCGGGCCGGCCCGACACATCATTTGATTAAGGGGTCCTTCTTCCCACCTTCAACCTGAAGAGTCTACATTAACAGTCTCTCCCAGATAGTAGATGTTTCTCTTACAAAAGACAAATGGTACATTCTACATAGTTGAAAAACAAATAGGATTTTCTTGGAAGTAGTTCTCTCCATGATTTTCTTAGCCCATATCATTATTGGGTAGAAAAAAATTTCATGGAAACCACTCTTCTAATAGCCCCTTTCATGTCCTTGTTCCTCAGGCTGTAGATGAAAGGGTTCAGCATGGGGGTCACCACTGTGAACATTACAGCAACTGCTATATCTTTATTAGATGAGTGGGAGAATGAAGGGTTGAAATACAGAGATATGATGGTGCCATAGAAGATGAAGACCACAGCCAGGTGGGAGCTACAGGTGGAGAAGGCTTTCCATTTTCCCTTTGTGGATGGGACTCTCCAGACAGCACAAGCAATAAGGATGTATGACACCAGGATGCAAATAAGTGGGGAAATCATTATTAGCCCTGCATCGATAAAAATCAACAGCTCATTGAGCTGTGTGTCTGAGCAGGAGAGTTGCAGGAGAGGAGTCACATCACAGAAAAAGTGGTGGATCACATTGTCTGCACAGAACGAGAGTTGAGCCATCAGCAGGGTGTGCACTAGGACATCCAGGTTGGCAATGACCCATGATCCACTGACCAGCAGGGCACAGAGCTAACGGGTCATCTTTGTTGTGTAATGTAAGGGGTGGCATACAGCAACAAAGCGGTCATAGGACATCACAGCCAGGAGGAAATTGTCCATGTCCACAAAGACAAATACAAAATACATCTGTGTGAGACACCCAGAGAAGGAGATGCTCTGACTCCCATGTATGTGATTGGTCAGCATCTTGGGGACGGTGATGGAGGAGAAGCAGACGTCCACAAAGGACAGGTTGCTGAGAAAGAAGTACATGGGGGTGTGCAGGCGGGAGTCAGTGCTGATGGCCAGGACGATGAGCAGGTTTCCCAGGACTGTGACCAGGTACATGCTCAGGAAGAGCACGAAGAGGAGCTGCTGCTGCTGGGGCTGCCTGGAGAGTCCCAGGAGGAGGAACTCGGAGACGCTCGACTGGTTTGTCCCTCTCATGGCTCTGAGCCCAGATTCAGAGAAGAGAGGCAGAGGTCAGAAATGTGGAAGAGGATTTGGATGCAACAAGAAGCTCCGGCCACAGTCATGTTAACAAAACCTGTCAGAGTTGTTCAGTCAGGATCTCCCCATGGTCCCTACATCCCCAACTTCCAGCTCCCAGTCCTTGATGGTGCTGGTACCACTGGACTCATTCTTTTAATTTTATAAAATATAACGTTAAAACAACACGGAGGCACATAGACAGCCCTTCTCTGTGATCACGTAGGTCTCTTTTGACATTCCCAGGCTTTCTCCTACTCCTGAGTAGCTCACAGAAACAAGAGAAATAGCTGATTATTACTGTGTTTATTTCAAGCTCCAGCTGATGGCTTTTACTGTTGCTCCCTGGATGTGGAATATTTAGCAAAGAGGGTTCATCAAAGTACACTGTTATAATATTACCTGGGAAAATTTGATACTGTTACTATCAAGTTTTCTTCACCTTGAAGAAACTGGTCAATGATTCCCTTTATTCTTAGGATTGGAAAGTCTTGGAAATACAGGCAATACCTGCACAAGTGAAGAGCAGATGTTCATAGCCTTCGCCCCCTGTGCAGGAAGGATGTTTGCAGAATCACAGACGAGTATTTACAGTAGCCTCCATGGCCACTGGGATTAGACTCCCTGAGAGTCTCATTAGAGACAAGCAGAAAATAATTGTCCCACCTATTTCCTGATCCCTGTAGACCCAACAATGACAAAGTACATTATCTAATTCCTGGGTCAGAACTTGGAGATATTGCAATCTGGATGGAGACAAGTCCCAGAGAAAATTCCTCGAGACTTCCAATTGCACCACCTTGCTGATATGGGTTTATGTTTATAGGTTTGAAAAGTCAGTTATTAAAAGATTTTTCTTCTTACTTTCTTATCTCAGAAACTGGGGTTACTGCAGTGCTATCTGAGTGAGCCCCTCTGTTTTGTTTTTGTTTTTTCATATCTGGCAATTTACTACATAGTTAGTTATTTGCAGATAGGCATGCAGGGGGAGGGGGAGGAGTCGCATTACTGATTTGTGCTTAATCCTTTAAAGCATTTCGTGCAAAGGATAACTTTTTTTGTAATTAGGAGGAAGAGATATATCATAGAGTTCACAGCATGTCATGATAGAGAAACTCCATGCTCCTACAGTAGACTTCTTTTGGGATGTCTTCCCAGCTCACCATGGGACACACTTTTCTGGCTCCCTAATCCATAGACCCTCAGGAGTGTGGGCTCCAGCAGTCCCAATTTATACTCCATCACCCCCACCCCAGTGAAAATTCATGATTGGACTAGGGAACTTGGAACTGGGACTGAGGGCCTGCAGGTCATTCTCAGTATGATTTAGCCTATAACGTGTAAATACAGAAGCTTGCAACTCTCTCCTGGTTGACTCATAGATGAAGAATTGAAAGTCTATAGATACAATTTTAAAAAATGTAAACACAGAGAAGTGGAGATGAGCTGGAGGAAGTACTGGTGGCTGTCCAGTTCAAGATTCAAGTCATTTTGTGATAATTTGCTTCATTCTTGCCTCACCCACAATTCTTAGTTGCAAATAACAAAAACCAAGTCGTCCTAAGTTAAGCAGAAAAGGATTTCATGAAAATGATAAGGGATATCTTTCAAAAACACTGGGCAGCTGGAGAAATAGGCTCAGAAGACCATGCAGCAGCTACAGTGGTCTGCAGCTGCCACAGAACTGGTCTGATCAGTGTACCAATGTTGATGCTGTACCTCAAAGCATAAATGTTGTGGTTCATAGCTTTGACACAGCTGTTACTGGACATGGGATGCCACCAGTAGCACTGCCACCACTGCTCCTCCAGAAAACCATCTTGCTGCAATGGCTGCCACTACCAGAAATAGTTCCTCCTGGTCTCCCCTTCTCTGTATAAAAGGCTGAGTCAGGGGTATCTGATGGGTTGTCACATGCCCACATCTTAGCTGCAAGAGGGACTGGGAAATCAGTTATCCAGGATATTCGTCCTACAGGACAAAGAAGTAAGCTCTTTTCCCATGAATTATGAGGTAGGGGATTACATAAGCTTTGGAAGGGGTTGCAGAAGTTGGGAAGCCAAAAGGCATGCTAAATGCCCACTAGAATCTACCCCTCCAGTTGCATAATAACCCCGTTACCAATTTACCCTTCAGTATAAAAGAAATCCCATGGCCTATCATAATGCAACTCTCCTTCACACAACAGGGGAACAACTCAAAATCCTGTCAGTTACTGCATCCAGGTCCACAAGCAGGACCTCCTCTATTCCAGTCATGATGCCATCATGACATTCTGGAATTTCTAAATCAATGAAAGCTAACCAATAACTACACATCCTATGTGCACGTAAAACACTGAGAAAGGAAGAGAAAAGGAGAGCAAACTAAAATACATACATACATACATATATATATATATATATATATATATATATATATATATATATATATATACACAGACACAACTATATGTATATTCACATACAACAAAGGAAAGAAGGAAATATGAAAAGATGCTGTAGTCTTCATTTCTGAAGGTAGCCATGAACCCTTGGTTGATAGTAATAATTTTCCTTATCTACAATCTAATTCATATTCCCTTTGTCTTTACCCAGTATCTTAGTTACTCAAGGTTGGTTTTGTTTTATTGATATAGTAACCCCAAACTTCCATGTCAGAGAGATTTGACCTCCTTACACGAAGGGGTCTTCAAAAAGTCCATGGAAATATTCATGACATCTTTTAATTCCATTTTTCCATTAACTTTTTGAAGTACCCTTGTAGTCCTGCCTAGGCTTTCATTAACTGACATCACTTAACATGGCAATTCCAGAACCTTCTCAAGGAGATCTTTCTATCCATAGTCCTCTCTGCTACCATTGTGTAGCAGCAAAACTTTTTTTTATTGGTAGCCTAAGTCATAACAATATTAGAATCCCATCTTTGGTCAGTTTACTAAGTAATAAATGGAGCCCAAATTGGCCAGCAAGAAGTCTCTGCAGAGCCCAGTGATGCTGGGATAAGAAGAAAAATTTTCAAGTAGATCATTAGGTATTACAAGAAAATGTATCTGTTTGTACCCCTTGTTTCTCTGACCCATAAATTCCTGGCTGAAAGAACGTATGAATTTTAGACTGTATCCTGTGAAATGGCACCCTAGAGTTATAGAATAAATGGTGCCAAAACAGAGTCCTTAAAAGACCATTTTACTATTCCATAAAGTCGGGTGTTTCTGATGATGATGTACAAGTAAATACCAATGAATCACATGGACACCAGACCCCTTGTACTAGTCATCTATTGTTGCGTAACAAATTATTCCATAACTTAGCAACTTAAAACAGTAAACATTTATCTCACACAGATATTGTTGGTCAGAAATCTGGTAGTGGTTTAGCTGAATGGGTCTGGATCGGGGTTCTCATGAGATTGCAGTAAAGTTGTCAGCAGGGACTCAGTCACCTGAAGGCTTCACTGAGGCTGGAGGGTCGGCTTCTGAGATAGCTCCTTCACATTGCTATTTGTAGAAAGCCTCGGTTCTTCACATGGACCTCTCCACAGAGCTAATTTGATAGTCCTCACACAAGACAGATGGTTCCCCAGAGCAAGTGAGTCAAGAGAGCAGGATGGAAGCCACAATATATTTTAAGACTTAGCTCCAGAAGTCACACACCATAGTTTCTTACACACACTATTGCTTACAGAGTCAGCCCAATTCAATGTGGGAAAGTATTATACAAGGCTAGGATCATTGGGGGCCATCTTGGCAACTGGCTACCATGTCCCTTTTACTATCAGGTGAGTTCCTTGGTTAGAGACCATGTCTGTGGAATGCCATGTTGTTGAACAAACCCATCCATCCCGAATACACATTCTATCAGTCTTTCAACCTCAGGTTGATTGAGCACCTCTTAGTGTACATTGTTTACCCTTTCCTGAGTGCTTCTACACCTTCCAGGTAACCACGTTCACCATAGGTTTCCACCTATATCATCCTACATGATCACTTTCGTTATATCATTCCAATTAAGTGGAAAGTGATGCCTGAGATGTCATAAAGATCCTGAGTCTGACTTGCAAGGCTCAAACCTTAGTATCTCCGTTTGGTTTGCAATATAGGCTGCCATCTGTGAGCCAATGCAGATGTCAACATTGTCTCCTAGACTAAATCTTGAGAAGCTTAAAGCAGCGATTCTGAAACATGAACATGCACAGAAATCACCTGGGGGTATTGTTAAAACAAAGATTCTTATTCAGGAGGTCTGGGATGGAGCCTGAGATTGTGCATTTTTAATAATCACAAAGGAGATGCCTGTTCTCAGACTGTGAGTAGCAAGAGCTTAGCCTTAGGGGAAGATGAGCCCTTCCTTACTCTGAGAAGGGCCTGAGCCATCTACACCCGTTTATGCTCAGCCGGCTCCCCAGCCAATCTCGCCTTTTGAAAAGAATATCCAGATCGGAAGTCAGACCTTGATCTCCATCAGTCCCCACCATGAAGTAGGACATGGGAATCCCCAACACCTGGTAACCCATCCTAACTCTAATTTAGCCTGGCAGAGGCTTAAAGGACCCCCAGCAGGTGGAGTGGGGAGGGCTCATGGACCCACTAGTTGTCCAGGTTTGGTGGGCACCGACCCGGGGGTACCTCTTCCTGCCTTCTTGAGGTAAAAGAACCAGAGGCTGCAAAGCAGAACCCCCACCGTATGCGGGGGTCCCCAGCATGCAGTACTTCCGGTAAAAGATGGCGCCGCCACCTCCTCACGGAGACAGCTCCAAGCTGAGGCCCCGCCTCCCCATCTGATTGGATGGAAGGGCACCAGCCGGGAAAATAGTCTATTATTGGATAATTAAAGAGAGACCTTCAGGAGGCGGGGCAAGGAGAGCCGGGCAACGCAGCCTCTGATTGGTCCCGTTTAAGGGCATGTGTAGTGCTCTCGGGAAAAGGAACCTCTGGGTTTGCCCGTCCCGC